CCTGACAAAAGCCCTGAAGCCACATTTTTGACTGGAACACTTAGGGATTTATTATCCAATAAGAATTTTAGTTTTGTTGCTTTTTTGTGCAAAGAGAACATAGCAAAGTTGCTTAGCTAATTTTTTAACACTTTTTACGGTAACTCCTTTGGTGCATATAGCACTGTCCAACTTCCAGCTTGTGAGAATCTTCCTTTTATTTTCTGTGCATACAAATACATTACTGTTGCTTCTTTTGCTAATACGAATAAGCATTGACATGTTCAAAATAATCCCAATGAATATTAAATTTACATCTGGAACATGCACAGCTCTGGTCAACTTTCCCAAAATCAACTTTGGAGACCAATCAAAAAGCCCCGTAAAGTTAGTGCTTGGGCTATGACATCATCATTTTCAACAGATATTCAATGAATCAAATCGTCACTTGAATATTCATGCCATTTCTCTAGTACTTTAAAACACAATATCTACCAAATGTAAATTTGTTTAAAAAAACATGGAGACCAAACACATTGAAATCCCAAGATAAGCCTGGCCCACCTTGCAACCATTAGACATTTGAATAGAGGGTGTAAGATGTGCGTAATAGATGACCTCCTTATCCTGTTACACATACTTTTCAAACTCACTTTGAAGTCACAAATACTTCTGAATGTTTAGGTGCTTTTAAAGACCATTTCAAGCTAAATGTGTGCAACTGAAAATATAATTTGGCTCAATGAAAAGAAAACATTTACAAGCATTTGCAACCTCAAATTATATCTTCGTTGTCCTTGTGGAAAATGTGTATTAATGCCATATCCAGACCAGTCCAACTGACTGTGAAACCATAACGCTCAAATTTCAACCATTTCTATAAATGGTCACATAAGGTGTGTGGCTGAATGCTTAGTTTGGTTCATTAGCACTTTTGAATACCTCTCAGATCGCTGTAGTTGTGTTGCTTTTGCCTGAAATGTGCTGAAAGGACAACTCACAGTGGAACCACACAGGTCATTGAGTTTCAACTGTTTCTGAAGACCACTGCCAACTTAATTTTCAGGTTGCCTCAATGGAAATTGTATTGTCAACATAATGTGACAATACAGCCATACATGCATAAAAAACTAACTCCTTAGTGTTGTGTGAAAAATGTTTAAACTCATTCTGAAAGCATATAAGTGTATAGCCCATCTCTTACAAAATCAGTGGCAATTTGTCTTAAGACTTATGTGAAATTTTTCTAAAATGTAATAGAAAACAGAATATATGAAACTGTTGGTCTGCATTTTATTAACTGACACAAACATCTAATTAATTTCTTCCACAGCTCATAATTTGTTGAATTCAAAAGGAAAAATGACTTTTCTAGTACTTATGATTTAAATCAGCCAAAGATAGTTTCAAGCAGAGACTTGGGATGCATAAACAGGTTATATGAACGTAAGGAGATGCCTCGTGTGAATCACTCTGTTCTGTTTGCTCAATATTGTCTATAATGCTTCAAATGTGTCTGAAATATAGTAGATCACCATATTTCTATAGACAAATATGCTAAGATATGACTTTGTTTTTAACTCAACCTGAGTGACCACATCCTTAGTCTCAATAGATCTCATCGGGATCATCGCTCTGTCCATGGAAGAGCTTCACTAATTAAGGATCAAAATACAATCTACAACTATAATTGTGAAAAAATAACTGCAAACATGCTGAAAACACCAGCCACAATATGTATAGCGGGTCATGGGAAGATGAGCATCTTTAAAGTTTTAGGTTGGCTCTGAGTAAATACCCCACCCCTCCTCTAGTCTGCCCCTATGCCCCCCAAACACTGACCCACTGAGTTCCTCCTCTAATCAAAACAGCAGGAGAAACTGAAACAACTGTTGTGTGTGTTTGTTTGCTGTCTCTCCGGGAACATTATGTGATCAGTGGAGATGTGTGTTTACAGTAGGGACAGGTCAGCTGGAGGGCATGGGGACAACAAAAGGGGGGATCTGCTGCTTTTCCCTCCACCATTCGCTGCCTGCATTTGTGCTGAATGATGGTGGGATATTAACAACATCGATTAAAAAAAGAAAGTGGGCCAATCTTCGCAGGATGCGGCTTCATCAAATGATTTGTTACAACAAATGGCTCACCTAAAATGCCACAGCTCAGAAAATGAAGCAACATGACCTTCCCAGGATGCAAACAAATGCTCTGTTGTGGTTTGCCCACCTCCCTGTAAACCCCTACTTGCCCACCCCTCTCTACCACCTCTGTGTGTTGAATGTAACTATCATGGTTTGTGTGTCCGCGGCAGCTTGTACCTGAACTGGAGCTGCTGGCGGGTTTCTGCTTGGTGTTCTGACGGGACTCCTTCATCCAGGGGAAGATCTGTTTGCTGCGGGTACCGGAGGTCGGGGAGCCGCTCTTGGCTGCACCGGGCTGGCCGGAGCCATTGCTCGCGTCTTGGCTGACTCCGCCGGGGGACTGCGAGGGGGGAGGCGGTGGGCCTGACACCGGTGCCGGCGCTGGATGATTGCTTTCGGGGAGAACCTTGGCCTGCGCCGCCTGGATGGCCCTGTCGCAGCCCTCCGCCACCAGCTCCCCTGGCTTCTGCAGAGCAACGGAGCCGCCGCCGGGGGACTGCAGGGAGCAGGCGGGTCGATGGTACTCGCTTTCCACATGAGAGGCCCTGGGATATTGGACCTGATTGGCATCATAACCGAAGCCATTTGCGCTTTGATACTGGTAGCCACTGTAAATTGCGGAGCTGTCGTAGTAGGTCGCCTTTTGCATCTCGCCGTTTCCCAATATTTATTTCAGAAACTGACAGGGTCTTGACACCCTCGTAGAATAACATTGGCACCCCGTGGTCACGTGACGCCTCTCCGCCAATGGCCTCCTCGGGTGAACCTAGGGTTACAAGAAGCACTGTGAGGAGGAGAAATGGTGGCGATCCATCTTACTTTTCAATACAGACCTGACACTGGAGACTGTGGAGGCAAGATAGGGCCAACAGTTCTGTGGACTATTACCGTTTACCTTATGGCTTACACAAAGGCGCACACTAACCTTGCGTTGCCATCTGTGCCAAACAGCATAACACGTTTCCAAAGCATTCAAATCATTTTAAAAAGCCTAACAAGAATCGGGATGACAGTTTAAAACTCCGAGCCGAGAGGGATAAAGGGAATATAGTTACAGTAGAGTTTATGGGGGAAAGTGCCTGCTGTGGAAACGGCTTGTTAGCGGGCTGCCACACAGGAAAATAATGTTTCTGTTACAATATTATTCTACCAGCCGGGCTGTCAACAGCATATCTAATTTCCTGTGTAAGCAGGTAAAAGACATTCACTTTTTTTTCTTTTTTTTTTTATAAAATTATTTTTCCCAGCTAGAAAAATAATCCGTCGGGAACAGTCAGAAAAAAAAATCGGAAATATTTTTTTCTCTCTTTCTATTTTCTTTATTCATTTATTTTATTGCTTATTGCAAGATGAATGAAAAAGGGGGCCCGAGGAAAACCTGAAAAACCAGACGGACATCTCTGCGCTCCTATGACCACGGTGGGAACTTTTTTTTCTTTTCTTTTCTTTTCTTTTCTTTTTTTTTTTTTCTCGCAGGGGCCCGTAATAATTTCCTGCGGGCTCCATCGTTTTGATATATGAGTGGCCGGGAGCGCCGGGCCCGGTAAAAGGAGAAGCCCGGTTGTACAGCGGAGAAGAAGCCCAGTGAGGACACATCTACAGCCTGCTGCTGTGACAGCGGATCCAGTTATAACACAAGATTAACAGACTGTTTATTCATAATAGAGCGATAGGTTTTCCGGTAGTACTATTTATGATGAACATAATAATAATAATAATAATAATAATAATAATAATAATAATAAAATAATAATAATAATAATAATGTATATATATATATATTACATCAATATCAAATTTCAATTTATGCAGCACAGTTTTACCCATAAAGATTCAGTTATATTTTATTCTATTTATTTTGTTTATGAATAATAGTAAATCTGTAACTATCAAAATCACGAGCAGGTTCCAATAAACTACTAATTTTATCAGTTTTTTTTTCTGCTTTTCTTTCTGTTTTTTAATCTAAAGCAGTCCTTAGTCTGGGATGCGTTTGTTAAAACATGAGCAAAAGTAAAAAATAAAATGAAATAAAAGCAGGACCCATGCAGCCTTGCATACCAAACGAAAAATAAGTCCGAAATGACACCCCATGTTTGCTTTCAGCGCAGCCCGAGCTGCGGATTGAAAGACGCTCTCTAATGACCGGTAAAAGGGATAAGGAGGCTTCTTCTCTCTGGATCTCCCTGCGATCCATTGCGACAGTCATAAATGGCAGAGAAAAAGAGAGACAAAAGGCAGGCTCGAGCTGTGCTGCTGCAGGAAAAAAATCCGTCCGCCTGACTATGTGTGTGCGTGTGAACTCTTCCTGAACCGAGATCTTAAGTCGTACGGTGATAAATCACCGCCGCGACACACAAACTCCACCATTTACAACCGAAAGGGGAGCCTATTTCTGGCCCCTGCTTACCTTGTCCTCTCACGATGAATGCAGAGCGCCGGGCAATATTTTCTCATTCAGCGACGAAATCGATCAAAGGCAGTAATCCAGAGGAAGAGGGGGCAGAAGGGGAAAAAAAAGTTTTAAAGGCAGCGGGGCTGACTGGGTTGAAGGAGCAGCGGCAGACTGCGCCCTGCCATGCAGGCAGGCATTAGCAGGCACAACACACAGGAGGAAAAAAAAAAAAAAGAAGAAGAAGGGAAGAGCCAAGAGAAGACCCCCTTTCCTTTTCTCTCCTTACTCGCCGAGATTGCGAAAGCAGGCGTGAGCAGTCGGGTCAGCGCGATAAGAAGAGTTATCTGCTCCCATGCTTGCAGGGTAATGGACAGGGCTTCATGGCAATATTAACGTCAGCCAAGGCTATGCTTGACTATGAGATCCTTCAGCAGTTACCATGCAGACACCAGTGAACTGCCCCGAACCAGAGCGTCACCGTAGACAAGAAAAATTATGCAAATGAAGCGAGCGCCTTGGAAAGCCAGTCCAAATCAAGTAGTTGCCTCTCCTCCTCCTCCCCCAACATCCCAAATGAGGGAGTCCGTCTGGAAAATAATAACGTTAATAATGCCTCGTTACTAATGCGCCGTCCCAAAAGGTGTTTTAGGTCCTTTTCTTATCATTTGCCCCGCGTCCTAGATAGAAGTTATGAGTGCAAGGAGATTTTCGGAATAACAAAGGGATACTGAGAGCTGCATTTCAATTTCCATGGGAGATAAAAGAGCTTCAATAGGCGGCTTAATCATTAACCTACTTTTTCTTCATCTCTCTTTTTTTTTCTTTTACTCTCAGAATTTTCTGTTTTGGCGCAAGGACGTCCAGTTCGTTTTCATTTCAACGTGAACCCGCTAACCATGAAGGAAAGCTGCAGGCCAGCCAGTGCACGTTCTGATCAAAGCTCCTAAATATTAAAGGAAAAAAAGGAAAAAAAAAACACAGCAGCTCGTGCACGGGGATGAAAAATGGGCAGAGGTTTCAACACCAAAAAGGCCAAAGCGGGAGGACACGCAGCGTGGAGCAGAGGAGAAGAAGGGAGCCGGGGAATCCCTCTGCATGGTAATGTTTGCAGCCAGAATGAAAGACTTGATAGAATTAGATTTATGGCTCCCCGCTCAGCTGTAAACACGGCCAGCAGCTAACGCTTCTCCGCTGGTTTTCAGGCTGTAGGACGGAAGCATTTCGGTGACACAATTAGAAAGGTGGAGAGAGCGCACGCAAGGACGACGTGGGAGTCTTGAGTGGGCGAAAAAAAAATCACACATTACGATTTTTTTTTAAGCTAACTTCGCCTTTTTCTTTCACGAAGCAACTGCTGCCACTTTGTGTAATTATTTACCTCTTTGTTCTACGCGAAAATGCTGATATGGTCCTTTTTTTTGTTCATTTGGCCCGAGGAGAGGGTTGAAAGGTCGAGCGTTATAAGAGCAAAAAGCTACATGGGAAAGGTCGGGGGGAAGGGGAGAAAATACCTAAAATTTTAGTAAAATACAAGATAAAAACCTGTTTGCAGCAGGCTGTAGTGGCTCCAATCAGATGGCTTTAGCAGAAAGTAGTTGTTTAAAAAAAAAAAAAAAAAAACGAGAATAAGGCAGCCCTCCAAGAGCCGCGATTCCCCTCCGTCACTTTTATGGTGACAAATTACACCACAAAGACAAGTGGAAGAGAAGGAAATATTGCTCTCGGGTTGGTCATATTGCTGCTACACGGAAATATACAACAAGCCATACAGAGAGACCGCTTCTGCTTCTCTGGCCTTGTGAGCTCACTGGGAAGGCGGCCCGCTTACGCGCGCGCGTGTTTGTGTTTGGTACTTATTAGAAATTGAATAAGGATATCACCATCAAGCATTCATAACATAAATCAATAAAGATGTATGGACTTACCGAAGGCAGCTCAGGGAGTTTCCGCGACCGGGCCTGAAGTTACTCGGCCGGATTTCTGCAACGAGAAATCCTTTCTTTAGTAACTTAAAGCATAATTTAACATTTTCTTCAACGGTGAGCTTTATTTTGTTCTCTCTCTTTTTTCAGAATTCAGAAATCTTTTCTCATTTAAAATACATTAATGTGGATTTTGAATGTTATTGATTCATATTTAAAGCAGCTAAGCAAGATATTGTTCGTTTGTGTTTGGGCGCATAGCGAAATGGGTAGGATTTTAGTTTCTTTGTTTATTAGTCGGAAGCAAAATTCAAGCTTTTTTTTGTTAAAGTAGGTTAACTTCGGATTCGGTTTTAGAAATTCCATAAAATTTTTAAAAGAAAAAAAAAAGGTTTAAATCTAAAGAGGAACTCATGGATCCCAAATTAGGCCCACAATCTTAAGTTGGGGGACAAAACGATTCAACATATGCTTGGATTGATGTTATCATAACGTTATGCAAGAAAAATGTTTTTTATTTCATTTTTTGAGTAGCTCTATTAGAAAAGGTTGCAAAGCATATATAATACTCAGGAAATATACACACATGAACTTCTTCAGATGACGGATATGTGAAAGCCCGAGCCATGAAACTCTTCTTCATAAAGCGCTGATAAATTCTGCACGTAGCTACGAAAACGCATATATTGTAAAAAAATAATAATAATAATAATTGTACTGTATGCAAATAAAGTGTTTTGTTGCATCTGCTCTCGCGAACGGATCGAACAGTCATTAGCTGGCGCTCACCACCTTCCCAAAGTCCCCGCGCCCATAAATCAACGCTGGAGCGCCGTGACCTCAGCGCGGCCGCGGCGGTCCTCGATGGCACTCCGTCTTCCATTATATCCTCATTTCCCCACGGCGGAGCGACACAACAACTACCCCAACTGCTCCACACCAGCTACTTCTTTTTTTTTTAATCTTCTTCGTCTTTCCTCTCTCTCTTTATATTTTTTTTTCTCATGGAGGTCGTATTGATGCATCGTTTACGCACGGGCGCGGTACATAAACCAGCTTAAAGAGATGGGGCTGTTTAAGTTTTATGGGACAGGTTGACACCCTGAACCGCCGGCGCGCTCTTCTGTCTGGGCGTTTGCTGGAAGTCGGGATAAATGGGGGCTTTATTTACTCACACTGGCCTATTTGTCCAACAAAAAAAAGTCTTCTTCTGTTATTTATTGCGCTATTACGGTGTAATTATTCCACACGGATTAATTGTGCATTTTTTATATATTATACAGAACGCATAAAATAGGTTATTTGGACAAAAAAAATATGAAATTAATTTAGGTTAACTTATGTTACGCATATTGACAGTTTCTTAAAATTTCTTGCGCTGCAAAACAAACAAAAAAAACAACAACAAGGAGCCCCCCCTGCATCCCCCATACCCCCCCACCCCCCATACACACACACACACACACACACTCTCTCTCTTCACTGACTGACCTCTGTCTCGCGTAGCAATAACTCACGACAGTAATGAACAATCGGCGGAAATACCTCAAAATAAAATCCATCCTCCCAAAGCTCGGGCTGTGACTCCGTCCGCGTGGAAAAAAAAAAAACACATATCCGTCCGTGACAACAGAATACATCCACAACAGCCAGGAATCCTTCTCTCCTCTTCCCGGTTGCTAAAATCGGCTTTTTTTTCTGGATATTCAAACAAAAAAAAAAAAAAAAGAAAGAAAAGAAAAAAAATCCTACAAAGCCAGGACTCCCCTCCCGAAAAGTGGGGGTAACCAGCATATAATCTGCATCATGTGGCCAGACCGGGGCTCCGGTTTTCTTCCCAGTGCCATAACACCGCGCGGTATTATGCGCCCTGATCACGTGACGCAACGTCAACTTAAATCCCCTTTTATTTGAGCCCGTGAATCATTAATGGAGGCAGTCATTGCCCCTGAGGAGAAACGTATCGGGCTTGTAGAGAGAGGGGGGAGAGGAAGAAGAAGAAGAGGAAGAAAAAAAAGAGGGGTTGTGTGATAGTGCAATGTATCTGGCTGAGGAGCAAGCCTCTCACTGAGAAGCAGCTTTTCCACGTGTCGCCCCATTCAGAGAGGAGAAAGGGGCTTTTCTGACACTTTTAAAGCACCATATATTTCGCGCCTGTTAGCTGCCGAAAGAGCAGCAGAGATTCGAGCACATTTGCGCGGCGGAAAGCTGTCCGAGCGCAACAAAAACCAACGCGCTTTTAGTTTCCTCTTTATTCTGCCACTGCCTCACTTTGCATGGGTGTATTCCACAACGCTCAACTCAACACCGCCCCCCCTGTTCTCATCGCGACACTTGTGCATTAGTATATACCACTTTGTCAGCCTCTGAGCCTCCCTCAATCAGCGCGGCGCACACGCTGCAGGGGTAAATAGAAACCAAACGTTGCCACATTTACCTGTCACACACGGAGAGCCTGTGCGTCCCGGTGGTCGTGAGGGGCGCCTGTCAGTCAGCGGTGGGCGGAAAGGAAAGGTGAGGTGACCAAAGAGAGGCTGCGCGACCCTGCTGGTCAGTACATGGATCCCCATTAAACTAACAAGGATCAACTCACTCAGGCTTGTGCATAAAGTAGTTTTGGAGATGAATAAACAAGTCAAAGAAAGTTATTTTTCAAAGAGGGAGGTTCAGCCACACAAAGCATATGTGGCCAAAAGCTCGTAGCCCGGAAGAGATTCTCTCCTCTCCGCACCGTTTGGCGCTTGTTTTCCGTCAACACCGAGCAGCGGGCGTGGAAAAATCCCCACCACAACTATTAATCACTCGAGTCGGACAGAGGCTCCGTCCCACTCCGGCACTGGGGCTTTTGTCCTCTCCGACTCCAACTCTAATGGCAAACTTTTAAAGTCAAGAGCAGAGTCAGATGCGATTTCTTCACTTTTAGTCAAAAATATATTCACAACGAACGTGGACGCATGTTTGTGAGAGCGACAAAAGTTTCATCATGTGATTTAGGACAAAATTTCCATGTGTGTCTTTCTGCAGAACCAGACTGATGTAAAGGCTTGTGAAACTGAATGACCGTGCCCTGCAGGATGATCCCACCCTACCTGTCGCCACCGCACCTGAACTTTCCCCTGACCCGTGCAGAGTTGAGTGGCAAGTCAGACATTCAAGCATCGACTTTGGTAGCATTTAAAACTCCTATTTAATTTCTTAACTGAACGACATTCTAGCTCCTTGCCATTTCCTAAAACTCTTTAATCGATCACGTTTTTGAATCAAAATAACGCACATGTTTCCAGATGCATTTCCACAAATCAAGCCTCCTTATCTCTGTCAGCACGGAGAGGAGCTGCAGGCGCAGAGACCCCCTGGATGTCGGCCAGACGACGGGCCATATCTTCCCACAATGTTGACACTCGGAGCTCTTAACAGCCAGGCTTGGGTTACCGAGCCCCTCAGCCGAAGATAACTGCTGCAGTGAGGTTTACATCGGCCAACATCAAGACTAATGTGAAATTCAACGCCTCGAGCTGAGTGGAGCCATCTCTAATTAACCCCAGACAAACACTGCAACCAACGAAGACAGAACAAGTGTTTGCTTGGATGTGGATGTAATAAAGCAAGTTGGATTTTCTTGTAGGAAGTGTCTCTTTTTCATCCCAGAACATTTGTAAGAGACCGTTTTTGAGAAGAAACACTAAGATTTAAGTTGTAATAATAATAATATAATAATAATAATAATAATAATAATAATAATAATAATAATAATAATAATAATAATAATAATAATAATAATAAATAATAATAATAACTTACTCAGTTTAGTTGTTCTATTTGCGGTTCCTTTGCAATTTCCCAATTGCATTGTTATACACCATCACAGTCAAAGAAGATGAGATGATTAGAGCCAAAATCGTATTTTTATTTATTTATTTATTTTCATGATGAAAACAACACAGAAATTGTGGAATGAGTTTTAGGTTTATTCTCAGTTAAAGCCAAAAAATATGTATATGTTTTTAAATTTTTGCGTCGCCACAGTGTGAAATAAAACCCATATTTTCACAGTTTGTATCCATCCAAACTGTGAAATAGATAAATAAACACCTGCATGAGTGAATAACAATAAAATATCAGCTGGTAAGAATGTTTTCCAGCACCATCACTCCTTCACAATTTGCATGTTTGCAAGCAGTGGGTACATGGATACATGCTTGTCAGCATTTGCCACAACAAACACATACTATGAGTAAAAATAATAATGGTGAAATATTACAAAACGTGAACATATTTTTGAGTATTATTTGAGAACTTTGAGCAACAGTCAGATTGAAACAAAATAAACACCTGGATCCATTTGATCACCTCCGCAACTTACTCAGAATGTAGATTTGTTGATAGGCTGGACATGCAAGTGTTTGAAAATTTGCCACTTTTTAACCTACATTGGTATACTAACACATATCTGCAATAAAAAAAAAATCCCAGAACCATCTACAATTTTCTCCTCGTGTCCCTAAACAATCGCTAGAATATAACTACACCGATTCTACTTACATGTCATGATGGTTCTGCCTCCCGAGGTTCTGTCAGAGGAAAAGAGATCTGACTCGCACCTTACAGAGCATCACTCCAAATGAAATTAAGTCAGATTTTCAGATCTATTTCTGACCCCCCGGGGCATCCATTATTCAGCAAGTCACGTGAACAAGAGCAGATTAAAATTTCAGCACTCTGAAAGTGACCTCTATTCGAGAATCACAGACTTGAAATGCGTAATTGAACTATATATTTGGACGTTGTGCGTAAAGTACGTGCCAATCAGGCAGAGCGTCATTCTGCAAGCCCACAGTCTAGGAGAGAATTTCTGTTGCAAAGAGTATTAATATTTTCCAGATTTATTTTTTTCTCTCTCTCTCTCTCTGTGTCTCAATAAATGTGATTAGGAAAAGAATAAGCAGTTTGTTTGTGTCCGTTGTACGTTTAAATTAAATGGCAATTTACAATTTATGCTCTGTAAACCCATAACCAATAAACGTGCCGACGTATTTATGGGCTTTAAACCAACACATGCCAACACATACTCAAATTTATGCACCCCCCCAACATGAAGAATCTCAGCATGTTACTGCTCATGTGCGCCCTCTCCTCTGGGCCCTGCCAGCGCTCCCTCTGTGATAATCTGCACATGCACAAGCGCTGTCTCTCGGAATAATTTTGGGAAAATTCATGGCTCAGTTTCGCACTTAAACACGGTTATTGTTTGGCACGCCGTCTTTGGATAAATCTCAAATGGGCTGACGGAGGTCTCGGCGCTGATGTATGGTCTGAACATTGTGTGTGTCGAAAGGTCAGGGGTCAGAAGAAGTGCTCGGAGCCTGTGATTGGCCAGTGGCTGCCGCTGTCCCCTGGCTGAACTCTCTATTGTTTGGACGGGGCAGGTAGTGACCACCGCTCACGCTCTTGGTGTTGTAGCGTTGGCTGGGTTATCATTGGAGTGGCAAAGTTGGAATAATATGTGTGGCAGGATATGCGCAACTGTTCAGGTTTGCTGTTTTACCAAACAGTGTATGTACAGGATATCTTTTCTAGTCTTTGTTTTTAGCCTTGGAGAATGTTTTGCCCCATATTTAGCCAAAATAAACGTTCAAAAATAATGCATGGATAGCTTTCTTGAACTATCCCGGCCACATTAAACCCGCACTTAAACATCTATTAAAACATTTACTATCTCGTTTCAGCTTTAACTTTTCAACATCAACTTGTAGATGGAAGACAATTCTGACATTTTCTGTTTCTATATGATAGAAGGAAAAAAAACTTGCTGTCAGCTAATACTGCGTGGACTCGGATCATGTGTTTCTGCCACATATCTTCCTAATACAAGAACATCCGCACAACATGCTATGCACGTGCACGGATTTGAATCTCAGACAAGCGAGCGATGAAAAACACAACAGGAAGATGCAAACACGTGTCTTGACGAAAGTAACAAGACGGATATTGGCGTTCACACCACTAGTAGTTGCACCCCGAAAGGAAAAAAAAATACACCGCATGGCGCATTGATCTCCAAATTAAAGCTCAATGCAAATGCCATATACTGTCAGAAAAGAAAAACAATTATTTAAATAGGGCCGTGCAGAAATAGCGTTTTAACGCACACAGCAAGGTTTTCAACAGCGACGATTGGCAAATATTCTAATCAGTGAAGTTCATATTTTTGATGAATAAATGTAGAAATGACAACATCAAATTTTGTGTTAATGTCGTGAAACCATAAATGAAATGTAAAATAAAAAATAAGTTACAATAGTAATAATAATAATAACAAAAGTCTGCTGATGTCAAACTGTTGTTTCAAGGTGTGTGTCGTTTTTAAAATTGGCTGACCAAGCCGGACCCTCTGCGTTTCTGTTCAGGCTAAATTTGGACCGGACGTACAAGACAAACAAAAGTCACATTTTTAACATTTTGGGAGGGCATAACAGATGCAATAAAATACCATTAAAATATTCCCACGGACGTCAAATTCCTGGGTAGATGGCAATATCTCAGCGTAGAATGAAGAAAATAATTGATAGTTAAACTCTGCCTCCTAATGTCTAGCTTTAATAATTAATAAGGATTACTTAAAAAAAAAGATCTTTAAGAGTTCGCGTAAAACCGCGCGTAAACGAACGAACGCCTTTGAAAACAGGCTGTTGCGCTGAAGTGAAATCAATACTGGCGATGACAAAAACATCCACAACCGCGTCAAGCCTCGTAAGTGGAGCACATATTTTATTTCACAAGGACAGGTTTAACCTACACTATATAGCCTACATTACATTGGTCATTACTGAGACAGCACATACAAATATTCACAGTTTGGAACACAACACAGCATAAGGACGCACGGGAGCACAAATGAATCTATATGGACTTTGTGTACAACATCGACAGAACTTGACACGAAAAAAAAAACGCCTTTTTCCCTCATTGTGCCTTCATTAGGTAGGATTTGTCTATGTACATTTGATGTGAGCGTCACCTGGACTATACATTCAACAGTAAGAACCAACCCAGTCAAACACACGAACTACACTGCTGCTCCCCTGACTGATACCCCCCAATCCCCCCACCCTACCTAAAACAGCCCCCCACCCTAAATAAACAGGCATCTACAGAGTCTCCTAAATATCTTTCAAGTATATTAGAACTTTCCATGACCAATGGTCATAAAACAATAATAATCGTAAAGAACATATAGAAAAAAAATGACCACAAACTTACTTTTCACCTGACTCAGTTTTAACTGCAATGATACACACTTTGTGATCCAAATCCTACACGTCTGAATGTGCGTTGGATTTTATTTTGTTTATTATTTTTTTCCTTCCTTCTTTCCTTCCTTCCTTCTTTTCCATCAGAAACCAAACACTTCAGTTGCCACCGTGGCAATTAAAGGTGATTTTTCAAGCTTATATGAAGGGTGGGGGTGAGGACGAAAGGGTGTACAAAGGACGCGGCACAGGCCCAATGTGCAAGCTTACAGAGATATAACACCATGAGTGTAAAATACTGAAAATCGGTCCATCGAATTCCACATGTGTTGTTCGCCATCTCAGTCTGGATTATGTGGGGTCTGTTATCCTGGGCACTATAGACCAACTGTGCACGGCGTTGGGACAAGCTGCTGGCCTGTTTTGATCTGCTGCTGTTGGTGCTGCTGCTGCTGGGCCCCGGAGGCTGAGGAAGAGGCCGACCCGGATGATGAGCGGATCTTTGTATTGGGAAGCTTGTGCTCCTTCTTCCACTTCATCCTACGGTTCTGGAACCAGATCTTGACCTGGCGCTCGGACAGGCACATGGTGTGCGCGATCTCCACCCGTCTGCGCCGGGTCAGGTAGCGGTTGAAGTGGAACTCCTTCTCCAGCTCTAGAGCCTGCTGGCGGGTGTAGGCAGTGCGGGACCTCTTGGGCACCCCTCCATTGTAACTGGCATTGACTGGGAGACGGGAAAGGGGGTTGGGGGGGTGGGAGGCAGGTGTTACATGCAGGTTTAAGAAGGCATTGTTTGTTGTTTTTTGTTTGTTTTTTATGTGTGCCCTCTGCACATGCATATTGCATAATTCGTGCACCACGTTTCTGCAGCCGGTTTCTAAACTCTCTTCTCCTTAACAGAAGAGAATGTGTACAAGCACTCGCATCCAGGGACACATCAAAGCTTAGGAATGATTAACAAAAACAGCAGGGCGGAATATAACACTTTGGCTCGCCTCCAGTGCTAGAAGGTAGTTTGGGTTAAAAAGCAACAAAGGCGCACGGCCCCAGACAGACGAACACAGGCAATAAAATTTACGAGGGTCCTTAATTACCGACCCTGCTGCTCGATAGTCGTAAATTGCTGCTGTAAGGGCTGCTACTAGTGCTGCCTCAGTGGGCTCATGCTTGTGTTTCCAGTGGCTGGGAACTCACCGCTGCTAACGTGGACCTTTTTCATCCACGGGTAGACAACCGGCTCCTTGCCCTTCGCCACGCCGGGGTACACTTCACCGGCGAGGCTGCAGTCTTTGCTCCCGTTTGCCCCTGCGCCACCGTCTGGCGCCGCGGAGAGGCGAGCGCCGTGGCTCTGTGGGACCGGCTGCGGCTGTGCGT